AAAAGAATTGTGCTAATTTTATAAATTTACAGCAGGGTAAATTAGGGCATCAGAAAACTGCCATGGGTTCTAAAACACCCCTGTTGTGAAAAGTGGCTTTAGATGGCGAACAAAGTTAGGTGCCTGAGAGAAAATCATTCAAGCTTACTCAAAGGGACTTTACAATAGAATAAAATAACTGGACCAGCTGTAATCACTGTGACGCCAACTCAACTTAAATCTCATGATTCCACGGGCACAGCTGATGTCCAGGACAGGTGCAGCTCCAGGCCGATCTTCCTGCAACAAACCAAAGAGTTGATTTTAGTCAAAGAAACAGGATGTAAAGGAGTTAAAAAACACGCAATTTCGACAGAGGAGGTCAGAGGCGACTATCACAGACCAATCCCAACCATTTCCAGCGATTTTCAAATTTTTCATTTTTTGCAAAATGTACAAAGCCTTTGTGTTTTTAGCGAAAATTGATGGGTCCGGATTTCGACGGAAAAGTATTCCAATCGACAGGGATGAAACAGGGGACCATAAAACTACCTTTGATTCCGTCAGAAACCACCCCTGTCCAGAGAAACTTGAGTTTTAAGGGTGGTCTTTTGAATCTAGCGGGCAGTGTACGATGGGCTGCCTACCTCGCAGGCGAACCGGTCCAAAGCGTAACTCACTTGAAATAGCTCGGCGGCGTGAAATTTCGACGGAGAGATTTAAAGGGGATGCTGTCGGGCCAATCCCAATCATTTTCAGCGATTTTCATTTTTTTCATTTTTGGCAAAATCTACAAAGTCTTTGTGTTTTTAGCGAAAATTAATGGGTCCTGATTTCAACGGAGGTGTGTTCGAATGTAGAGGGGTGAACCAGGGGACCACAAAACTACCTTTGGTTCCGTCAGGAACCACCCCTGTACACAGAAACTTGGGTTTTAAGAGGTGGTCTTATGAATCTGGCGGGCATGAGCGTACGATGGGCTGCCTACCTCGCAGGCGAACGCGAACAGGTCCAAGAGAAACAGGCATAACTCACTTAAAATGGCCCGGGTCCAGATTTCGACGGAAAAGAAGTCGAACCGACAGGGGTGAACCAGGGAACCACAAAACTACTTTTGTTTCCGCCAGAAACCACCCCTGTCCACAGAAACTTGAGTTTTATAAGAGCTGGTCTCTCTAACTAAGGGCGGGTAGGCTACCTAAGGCGCACTGGTTAAGAACTCTGCTGTAGTGGGTCGGCAACGTGATATTTAAACAGGGTAACTGAAAAGGGAGTTTGCCCGACCAATCCAAACCAATTCCAGCAATTTTTCAAATTGTCAAGATTTTTAAAAGACATTTTCAATGATAACAAATCAGCCTGGAGGATTGAAGGAGGATTGAAATCGACAACAAAGAACCAAGGCACCACAAAAAACATCAAATACCACCGTTTGATGCACACGAAAGGAAGCTTCCTCAAAGTGGAGACAAAGTGGACCAGCGTTGGCGGTTACTGTCATGTCAACTCACCTATTCTTTTGAGTAAAATGACTCCATAGACTTCTCTTTGCTCATGTCAAGAACATTTCTGGGCCGAGTTCCTGCAATCATATTAAACGGTACTTTTAGCGCTCATAAACTATTACCGACATATAATTTACTCATACAATACACTTTTAAATGCCTCTCCCCCCATGCGTCTCTAAATGACCATGGTCTTTCAAATAACTAATTTTGGCACTTGACTAAGCATTAAGTACGAAGGGGCAGCTGCAAATTATCTGCAACGCACATTGATTGATTGTTTGGGGGATTACGCAAATAGTACCACTCGGTTTGCACCCCAATCAGAAAGTAATAAAGTTTTCTGTTCCATGAGAATAAAATAGAATAAAATATATGATATGTGATAAAACACTGGCAGGTTCACCCATTTGCATAAGGACCTACAACAGTATTTAACATACTGCATGGATTGGAGGAGTCTACCCATTCAACACCTTTTCAACAGAGCTGACAGTGAGCCAAGTTATTTACAGCACGGGCATCATTTACTCGGCCTCAAAAAATAACTTACAACTTAATTGTGCGTGTAAAAATTTGAGCCAGAGGAGCATAACCTCCTACAACAATAACCGGAATGGAACAATTCAATATTCCGGACCGGAAACAAGTAAGCACTATACCTTGCGATTAGTAACGAAAAGCGGCGATATCCACTCTAAAATTCTGGTAAAAATCCTATGATCAATAATTATATGAGTAGATATTATCGGTATTCGGCAAAAACGCCGATCGTGACACCGATTGTCACACTGTTTGTTTACGTTTCCATAAAGGCGCGGGAAATGCGCGGTGGGGGTGGGAAGGAGGAGAGGGGTAGGGGACGCGGCACGGCAAAGGGGGAGAGCAATAATTACGGCAGAAGTTCTGATCAGACAATGACACTCACCGACATATCGTGGTTGCGGGATGTGATTCTTTCCTAGGATAGGCAATCCCGCCTCGCTTGTCCAGGATGTGATCCTTTGGGAATGCTTCCCGTCCCGCGCATCGTTGTGTGGCTCCAGGCGGCAACGCCAGGGAAGTGCCGTGTGACAATAGTGAAATGATCAGGATAATAAACTATTATGGGCGATTTGCTATTAATAATAATTATATTTGCTGACTTTTAAGAAATATGCACCAGCCCAGGTACGACATTTGGAGCCGAATCGTATTTGTCGTGGGAGTGTCATCGGCATGCTCGGGAGGTCCCCAATATGACGTCCCCGAGGACCCGGACGACATCGGCACTGCCAGATGTGGACTCAGCGTGCGAGAAAACCCCCTAACACTACATTTCAGTCGTCCTATTGACGGTCGGTCGGTCGGCCAAACCGTATCTTATTTTGACAGCCCCTCTAGCACGCACAAGTACCCGATCACATTATTAGTGCAATAAATTGTAACAAATAACGCATCTCCGCACACAAATTTAAACAAATTCTAACAAGTCCTCATTCGTCAAAAAATTTGATGTCACTCTGGCGCATCAAGATAGTGTAGGAAACTATGGCGGACATCATCTGAAACGCCACAAACAAATACCTTGGATATCCAAAAGAAATAAGACGTCCCAGCGAGAAATCGGTGAATGAAATATCGATACGATATCGTTTCGACATCGCAGGTCGAAAATGTATCGCAAACAGGTACAAGTTTTTATCGTTAAAAATACAATTTACGACATCATACGATATCGGAACGTTATCGTTTCGATACCTCGCCAAAAACCCTTTTACATTGGGTAATGATCATAATTTGATTACAATCAAAACGACGTCAATTTGACGTAATATATGCCAATTTCGAGGGGTGTGGAACTGGACACAATGTGTAGGCCTTCATCTGGAAAAACATTCAGAGACAATCATGAAACAATCGGACACAAGTCACACACAATCTGAAACATCACACAAAATCCGAAACAATTACACACAATCACGAAACAATCACACACAATCACACTCAATGACGTCACTATCTGCCACAATTTTGCAAAATATATCACAATATTTATCCGACATTCTGAATCAATCAGAGACAATAACACACAATCATAAGCAAACACACACAATCATTCACTATCTGAAAAAATCACACACAATCGACATAATCACACACAATCGGAAACAATTACACACAATCGGAAACAATTATGACACAATTCTAAAAATTATGTCCCAATATTTACCCAATAGTCTGAAACAATAAGAGACAATCATAGACACAATCATACACAATCTCTGGTCTAGACACATTCATGTGTAGACTTTTTTGGTCAGTTCCACACCCCTCGGCCAATTTGATGGATAGAAACGTTTAGATGTGAATTTCTCACGTTGAGTGGGTGTACGACAAGTATTAATTAGGTGGGGTAAGAAAATATGTGCATCGCAATATGATGAGATTGTTTGAGTTGTACAGATACAAAAATTACCTGCAAAGCGGTTACTGAATTGATGTCAAACGACCATAGCACCGTACATATTCCATTCTGCTGACTTTTGATTTGAAGAACAAACATGTGGACCTGCCCAAACAATAAGTAAAAATTTATAAAAAAGACAAACTTTCCACAGGCATCTCACTATCGCATGCATAGGATACCTCGTAGTCGAGCCCAAAGAGAACACCTGAGTCAGAATTACGTTAAAGTGACGTCAGAGTGCTGTCCATATATGGACCTTAAAGTCAAAGTCTAGTCCTCCTAGGTAGGGCCTGAGACGTCACAGTGACCTGCAGATACCCCATTTTGACCCCGTTCTGACTTTAAGTTTTCACTGGCAGGTACTTGCCCAACCTACCTCATTACCTCGGTCACATTCTCTGAGTTGTGATGTGTATGCGAGCATGGCCTGGCGCATTTCGTTGCTCTGTGGAAAGAAAAAGTGGGATGTATGTATACCGGGTGTCTCGGCTCTTACATGCCAGTATGGTGGGTTGCATAAGCACTGGCTCGCAGGCGCTGTCGGGAGCGCGTAGGATTTCGCGAATCCCCGCGGAACCGCGATTCTCCCCGTGGAACCGCGGGGGATGCGCGAAATCCTGCGCGTTCCCGACAGCGCCTGCGAGCCGGTGCTTATGCAACCCACCTTACTGGCATGTAAGAGCCGGGACACAGGGTGCCATATATTAATGCGCTACATGTTACGTAATCACATGCTTGTCCATGTGCCCCCCCCCCTTATCTGTACTGACATTGAACCAGCCACGGAACCGTCGGGCAATTGTACAGACCTCTGACTGGAACTTCTGACATGCCAGACATAACATGACGAAGCGCACAGCGTGACAAACTAATTGTGCCAACTGAAAAGGACTCCGAGGCATTGTGGAGTTGTAGAAGTTAATGTAGTCTGAAAATTGAAACGTAGAGGATTGCCAGCTAATGAACGACAGATAGACAAGATGCCATTGCAAAAGGTTCCGCGTCGAGGAAAAGATGTCGAACAGAGATTGATATTGGCAACGCATACTTCTCCAATGCAAGCGCACGCACTGAAAAATCAGGATTGAAACGTAATTTGGTTATTATTTTTTCTTACATATTTAAAATATGCAATATAATTTGTAGTAAGTAGTAAAGAAAATATTTGTTAATAAAATCGAGGGGCTCCCCGTCGTACACCCTACCTCTGGAGAAAACTCATTCAGTTGCATCCCCGAATCTTTTGCGTTTGGGTTCTTGTTGACGGTTTGGAGAAGTTTGACACAATTCTGGCGCAGATCCGCAGAAAGCAAAGCCAAAAGCACAACAGGAACAAGCACCAATGCAAAGAGCAGGTTATAGTGCCATCCTATGAGAAAGTGCCTATGCGGCACTTGCCTGCCAGAAACACCTGTGCCTCAAATAGAGGCCGTAGTCTGCATATGTGTCAACAACCCATGCCAAATGGAAGATGCTAAAAGCAGACGTCAGTACTGCAGCTACGAATAGCAAACGCCAGGATGAAGGCGAGAGAGGATGCCGTTCACAATATGTTATCAGAGCTCTGCAGAAATGAGGGCCATGGTACTTGTTAGAAAGTATCAATATCAGAGTATGATAATATGATGTCAAAATTTTAGAAAACACAGTCTAAGCGACACTTTACACCTAAAAGGCTGGGCAGTTTGAACACGGCTCGGCTCCTCCACCGGAATCGTTGGTAGAGACGATAAACAGCCCGACCGCACGGAGAACTGGAAAAACAAAGGCGCTACTTCACACCCTTCGCTCGGGGGTGATTATCAAATACAAACAAACATGCAGTTTCGTTTCAAACAAAAAGAAATATGAATTTGTTTTACTTGGTTTTTCGTGTTGGATATTGTTTATTAGTACCCTAGAGTTGTCCCACAGTCTGACCACGTACAGAGGTTTAAGAGCGATTCGCGCAAAAAAGAGGCATCGGAGTTCAATCCAATGTTACAGTTCTCCCCTGCACGAGCAAAATACAGCTTCATGGATCGATCCGTACTCTTTTGATACCATTCTATACACCGCTCTCCAGCTGCATCTTGCGAAACTGGTCCGTAGCACCTGGCGGGTAGGCAACCCATTAGGGTGTTAGATGTGTTGCCTAAGTGTCGGGCGTTCGGCCCGCTTTACCACTGACAATACCACGACGACTCCGAGACACCGGAGCCACCCACGGACGGGGCGTCGAGGGGGCCGCCACTCCTGAAATCATGTGTACGCCCTCCCTGAAATCCTCCCGAAATCATTTGAAATAATTTGCCAGCAAATTTAAGTCTGAAATCCTTAGAAGGTCATTTAAAAACCGCCGGAATCACGTAAAATCCGCCGGAATCTTGTGAAATCCGCCGAAATCCGGTAAAATCCGCTGAAATCATCTGTAATCCTTCAAATCAGACATAATCTGCCGGCAGGTTTTAGCGTGAAATCTTCTAAAATAATATGCGAAATCCATGAAATCATGTGAAATCACGCAATCTTTGCAATCATGTGTACATCCAAAGAGAGAGTGGTGGCCCCCTCGCGGGGCGTGGATGAAATAATTAGCGATAATGGCATCGGAATTTAGTTCTGAAGAAAGCCTGAAACGGCCCTCCTGCCCTAACAGAACAGGTCGCTCCTTAACATAATACGACTGTAAAGGACGTTAATACTATTATCAAAAAAGGCATTTTCAGGATTTTCGATTCTGCACAACAGAATGGAAACTAGAGCAAGAACGGAGTTTATTCGCAACAAAAAAATAATATGCACCAGAAAACGATGCGAAGCGATGTTTGTTACTGTCTCTACAACAGCTGACTCGAACGAAAACTGCTCGTTTTTTATAATCACCCTCGGGCGCTAAAGAAATTTTGAATTTAATACTCTGAATGCACTAAAAGGGCCCCAAAATTGCTAAAAATGAGTGCCTTAGAGAGTTGCAATGCATTAGTATACGGCCGATAGTGAAGGCGCCACATTTAAAAGACGTGACTTGTAACTCGACAAATAGCACCTTTGTTTCTCCAGTGCACTGTGAAAAATTGTCGTACCGGGTACAGGAAAATTTTCCATGGAAGAAGTCGTACAAGTACAATCTAAAATTGTACAATTTACTAGCCCTATGTATCGACTTGGAATCGAATATCGAGCGACAGTGGGGGGTTATACATGTACGACTCGTATGGTAAATGGCAAATTACAAAATATAGAGTACATGTCGTACAAAAATATATTTTTCATAGTGTGAGCATAATAAATACAAACTCGGACAAACTCGTCTCTATACATAAACAACCTGAGGGGACAATAACTCTCGAAATCATGTGTACACCAGGGCATAAATCATGAATCACGCCGGAATCATGCGGGAATAAAGGTAAACATCATCCGGGAATCACTGGGAGTCAACGGGAATCCCAGGAATCAACGGGAATCTCGGGAATCAACGGGAATCACTTGTTTCAGGAATCATGTGTACACTTAAAATCAGAGTTATTGCCCCCCCCCCCCCTCGAACCAACCAATGGCTAAAAAAGTGACCGGCCAAAGTGTCTTAAAAGTGTAAAAAAAGTATACAAAAAGTATAAAAAAGAATGCCGAAAGTGCTACCAAAGTGTGGCCGTTCCAATTTGCTATACTTTAAGGGTACCTAATGTAAACTTTTTACAAAAGTATACCCCAAAGTGTCATTTGGATATACTTATTTCCATGCCATGCGGGCGGACGAGTAGGCAACCCAGTCGTAGGCGCTGCTCTTACTGCGAAATTTGACAGGGTTTTCAGCCCTCTGGTCTCTGGTATGAGTGGCTGGGCGGGCCACCGGCCCCACACGGGTGCTTAGCGGGTTGGCCTACCCAGCGCGTCGCAGGCGCTACCATGGGCGTCGCCTCGTGAAACGTTCACTGAACGGACCATCTCTAGCGGACTCTTACCGTATTGTGTCGCACATTGGGCGGCGAGCGTTAACAGTTTGCCATGAGATGAGAGCAAACAGAAGGATAGAAAACACGAAAATTCCTACAAACATGTTTGTAGTATCAGGTGTCCTTTGAAAAAAAAAAAATAGATTTAATTAAAACCTTACATGTGACTTGAAAACCATGACGAGTGCGCAAGATTCACTAAATTGTCGCTTTACCTCGCAGACATACAAGTGACCAAGGCCGCGTTTACAACCATGCAAATTATCCAGAAGAGACTGGATCCACATGCCCTCCAAGCAGGGCGTGGTCGCATCGCCTCAAATTGGACGGGTAAAATTCCAAAATGTAAAGCCTGGAAGGCCAAACAGTGATTACTAATGAGAAAGCCTTAATTCGAAGAACCTTTAAGCTTTAGTGAGAAAGCTGAGAAATTTGCTGGGGTTAATGTAAAACTATACCTGAGAATAGAATATCATCCAAAAGCACAGGACAGTTTTCTTCACCCACGTGCCGTTCATGATGACGTGCGATCACGGGCCGCATGTACGCAGAGAAATTTGTCTGCGTGATCGAGGCCTCCTGTTGCTAAAAAACACGCGGAGCTCACGGCTCGGCCGGTTCTCGGCTGACTCTGTGCGGCGAAGACTTGACCATGTTTGCGCAGCACTGCCCGCCACGCCCACTAGTTACGCGGTAGTGATTAGTTTGCACAGGCCGAAAGCCTCTTCTGATCGATACATGACGTCGCCCTGGCCTATGGCCACGCATGATGTCGCAAAGACGAAAGCCCCCCCCCCTTCCTCTATTTCTCCCCGGTGACGCCAGCAAAGCGAAGCGTGCGAAGTGCACGACGTTCTTGACTATGGTGCTGTCCAGCCCACATTCTCCCGCAGTGTATCGCCCCTGAGAGCGCGTGCTGGCATAATCCTGGGGCAGCTCTGGGCGGGCTTGGCGCCCTGGCCGCCCCGGCGCCTCGGCGGTGTGCACACCACCCACATCTTATGACACACAAGCTAGCGCGCGCATTAATTGTGTAGCCGTGTAATATCCTCCTGCAGCCGCCGCCGCTTCTCATTTCCTGGCCGCAATCTACGGGGGGCCAGCGCGGCCCTCCGGTGTCCGTCCGCCGGCGGAGCTCATCCCTCCCGACGCCGCGCCCCGCCGCGGGCCGGACCAGTGTGCGAGTACTTTTCTTCCTGCCCCAGGAAGAGAAAGGCTGCTGCTACGTGGGCTACCCCCCCCCCC